TTATTATTTTTTTTTTTTTATTTTTTTTTTAATTTTTTTTTTTTATTGTCTAATCGTTATCATTATCATCATCATCATCATTATGATGCGCTGTGCGTATTTTTGTGGAGTATGGCGCTATACAAATAATTGACAATATTATTATTCTTATTATTTGTTGAAGATGGTAACGAATGTCATAATCAAAGTCATCTTTCACATTTTGATAATTATCACCTTGAATTCTTTATATTTATTTAAGAATTTCAGATATCATAATAAAGGAGTGGAGTTTAATAGCTCAGTGGTTAAGATGCTTGCTTCTGATCCAAGGATCGTGGGTTCAATTCCTGTCAAAGCAGGAATTTCTCTCGGCGACTAAAACAACTCCACTCACTAAAGCCTCATAAAGAGGTTTAGTTAATAAAGCAGTATTCTCATCCTGTAAGTGGGGAGTGCACTTGCTGTTGGATGTGAGCGGGAAAAAAAATCAGATACGGTGGCGGCGCCAGGATTTCCCCGATGGGGCGGGGGGCGCTGATTTCCCCAACGAGAAAAAAGTGGGCGTGGTCGTACGTCGCTAAAAACCTTTCGAAAGTGGTCCAGGGGACCACCCCCGAAATTATGACAATTTAGAAGTTTCAAAGGCTTATTTATAACGATTTTAGAGTCTATTAATATGTACAAACTACTTCTAATTGTTTTTTTTTTTTAAATTTTCTCCCCGACGAATTGTGGATTTTTTCCCTGACAGGGTGGGGGGGGGGCCTCCCCGACGGGATCCCCCACCCTCACCCCCGTAGCGCCGCCACTGATCAGATACCAAAATTCTTTGGTCATTTAATAATCGTCTCCTAAAGCGATGATTGTACATAAACGATAATCGTTAAATGATCGTTAGAAATATAACAGATGTGAACAAATTATTAGTAATAGGCCTATACAACTCTGGGCAAATAAATGCTATGAATGTATCTAGCATTTTCCGGCGGTTAGCAACTCACGTTATAGCTCAATTCATGTGTCTGTGTTATCTTTGAGTAATATAGCACAAATATGACGTCATGTCTCTATCTTGTATGTCAGGATTTACCAAAGGTCAACATTTTATTGAATTACAGTATCGATAAATTTTCTAAAAGTACGGCCCACAAATGCTAAGTATACAAGGCTGAAATTATTGATAATATTTATGATACTAGGGCAAGACGTCGATAAAATGGATTTTATTCAATATTGTGCTTTGGATCATCACAATACAAAAATACCCACGCAAACATATGCTGTAAATAACGCACGCGTGACGTCAAAAAAGCCCGGAAGTTAATCTTCATCAACGCCGTACTATCGTGAGAAGTCCAATAAAGGTGGGAGGAAAATGTAATTCATTAAGGCAAAAAAAAAGGGGTGGGGGAAATACTAGGTCTTATATATCGCATCATATTAGGCCAGGGTAAAAACATTACTTAGTATATCATTTTCCAACTACAACATAATTACACATTTACCAAAATAAAGTTTTGAAACAAATAAATTTATTCAGTGTGATATCATTCACCAATATTCAGACTGCATCGGTAATGCTATTACATAGATTTATATTTATATATTCTTTGGTATTTATTGTTTTTATATGTTTCCATCGACATTAGGTTGAATAACAATACATAACATTGTACAAACCATGTAGATGTGTATAAGAGACAGATGACGATATGCAATAAAGACAAAGAA